GGGGAAGTTCCCATCAGTAAAGTAGTACAGGATCACAGATACTGTGAGGAGACTGGAGTCACAGAAGAATATTACTCAGGCAGTACAATCCAAGAATTCTCATTGCTAAGAATTAAGAAAATTTTTCCCCTCTTCAAATCCAATACATGCCTTCCCCACATGTTGTTTACCTTGGATCTCTCAATGGGGAGATCCAAGAACAGAATTTGCTGCCTATCAAGGTCCATTTCTAGCTCAGTTCTGTCCAATTCCTGTGTCCTGGGCCTGTGCCAATATCTTGGATATCTTTGCAGTGCCAGGCAACGCTTCAGTTGTCCTATTAGCCCCTCCTCCCAGGAGACAGGAGTAAATTTTCAATCAAGTTATTACAACAGATTCAGGGCAGCATTTGTTATTAATACTGAATTTGGCAAAGGGTAAAGACACCCCACTTTCCATAACACATTCCTCAGCAGAGCTGAGCCTGGAAATCCTGTTTAGCATATACAGAATGGTATGTCTCGACTGTGCTGGGTTTCTGAGCTTTTAATGAGGGCAAATTGAATTTATGTTGCCATTCAGAGATGCATTTTAGTCTTTCTGCATGATCAACAATCAAAGGGAGAAACCTCTGCTGTCTATACAGACTCATGCTGCAAAGTCTGACTTACCACAGACAGGCAAATACGGTTCTGAAGTCCTGACAGCACTGGAGAGGAAGTCTTAACAGGCTGGAGTTATCTACACAGGTAGGATCCATCGCCTCTCCGTGCTGCAGGAAGAGAGGGAGGAGGAAGGTGGGAAGAGCAATGCACAGAGAAGTATCTTTATCCAAGGGATATCAATTGCAGAACAAGGTGACAGGCTAGAGATCCAGCTCTCTTTCCACCTCCACATGCCCTCTCCCCACAAATGCAGCTGCCACCACTTAACAGGATAAAAGGTGAATTGTTCAGCTTGCTGCTTTCACATCTAGGAGGTGAGTCTTTGCCAGGGAAAGGGCTGTCAGTTTTTCAGATGGACAAAACAATGACAAATACACACCCCCTACACTGCCCTTTTTTGCGTATCTGAAAGGGGAAAAAGGAGAAGAGGGGGAAAAAAAAAATTAAGGTCTCTGTAAACATTTTAAGAGGAGACATTCTGGATTTTTTTTTTTCTTCTTAAGGGATAAAATAACCTTTCCCTAGCCCCACCCTAAAAGCACTAGTTTTGGGGAGCACTGAAAACAGAGATTCAGAACTGCGCACTCCGGTCTCGGAAGAAGCCCTCAGCCACTTGTGCTTCTCTGAAAGTGACGGTAATGGAGTTTGCTGTGATGTCTGTCACTGTCACTTCGCTGGGGGGCACAGTGGGAATCCAAGGGAGGCTGCCATCCACATCTGCTGCAGGAGAGGCAGATAAGAGCATGTTAGTGAGAGAGAGAGAGAGAGAGAGAGAGAGAGAGGGTGAAGGAGAAGAAAGGAAGAAGAGAGGGAAGGGAAGGATGGAAAAGAGGCCTCCTTTCTGACAAATGGTGGGTGAGATCAGCCTGTGCTGAGTCTGCACATACAAGGCAAGAAAGACCATGGGCAAGCCCTCTCCTCAGAGGCTAAGGGAAAATGGAGGATCACTGCATGATATAATAGGAAAAGACTAGCAAAGGTGTCCAGACATACACCAGCACCAGAGTAGCCTACAAAGAGGTCAAAAGACTGTCTGTAACACCATCCAGCTCATCTAACTATCCACAGTTCCCCAATACCTCTCACCCCATCTCAGTCCCTAGTTTGGCTGTCAGGAAAGCACACTTATCCAGGTGTGAGCTCACCTGCTTGTAAATGTCCTACCCTGCTGAAAAGGAAAAATTCACCAACCCTTGTACATGCTCTTCACATACTCCTATGGGAGTCAAAGGGACCCAAAATGGAGGGTCTTCCTTGTACTGTACCTGCAATGCAGCCTGGGTGTGATTCTCTCAAATATCCATTAATACTTCTTCATGGAGAGGCTGTTCTCCTTTCTCATATCCTTCTTTTGCTCTCAGACAGCTCCATACAAGAAACCCAAGCATTCCTGCACTTTCTCACTGTAAGAATAATTATCATTCCCTTTGCCACCCAAAGACTCACTTCCCCCCAGCCCCCAGAGACAGCCACAAAAATAGAGAGGAAGAAAAACATACCCTGTCCCTGCCACTGTAGTGGTACTATACACCTTGTTGTCCTAACCTGGGTAAGGAACGAGGGCACCTTAAGGTGTATTTTCTGGCCTTTGTCTGAAATACCTGGAGTGCCTACTTTCACCTCAGAAAGAGTCCAAGCCCCCGCATCCTCCCTCCAACAATAACTGGAATTTCATGCAGTCCATGCATCAAGGGGAGAACAAAACCAATTTTACATTTCTGTAGTGCCAATTCACTCTTACAATCCCCAACTGCTTTAGAGCCCAGAGCTTCGAGGGCTGGGGGGGGTGCGGGGTGGGGAACAGCTCCGCACATTTGCACATTGCCAGGACGCAACACTGGGTTCCTCTGTGCTACCCTCATTGCTGCCTCCCTGGATTTTGGGCACTGTTTGAATCCCTGTCAGAAAGGAGGGGATAGTGTTGATTCCCAGAACACAGGCATCTCCCCAAAATCTTTCCTAATCCAGCCTGGCTAACAGCTACTCCTAACAAGGAGTAACAGGATTCCTTTAGCTACTACAAGCAGCACAAGCCCCAGTTTTCCACTCCTCAGGAAAGCTACGCCTTCAGAAGCTCTAATAATGCAGGGATAGAGTTTCCCTGGTAACTCAGAGCAATGCACACATCCCACAGCCCTCCTGCACAAGATGCTAGTATCACTCCCCAAAATGCCAAATGTGCTTGGACATCTCCCTTGCCTACACTCACACTACCTACTCAGTGGGATCATGCAGGAGTTACCATCCTTACTTCATCTCCCTCATCCCCCTCTCACATAGCTCTATAGCAAGAGACTCTGGAGGACATGGGGTGTGGAAAGGGAAGGAGGGGGAAGAGGAACGCATAATGGGTTCCTAACAGTATTCCTGTATGCTCCTCAGAGCAACACTGTGAGGGGAGTGCTGGTGTCCAAACTTGTCCACTGCCAGCCAAGCCCCTTTGGGCAGGGGAGCAGGCTGAGCATGTGTGGATATGTGGACTGTGGCAGAGTTCATCACTATCACACCTGCACGTCACCTCTGCTGTGAGGAAACTGTAAAAGGGGAGTAACTTGCAGTATCTTCCTCATGTTTTCTAACACTGGGAGGGGTGTCACTGATATGACTAGAAAGAGGCAGCAGCACCAGAAAAGCAGATACATCAGTGCTATTATCCAAACAAGAAAGGAACTTCCAGACAAAAGGGCCATGATGTGAGACATAGAGAGCTGCTCTGAGGACCTGACCTAAACCACAATCTCAGGATGAGGCAAGCAAGGAGGAAACAGCAGAGCATCCTTTGCATGCCCCAGAACTTCACAACCAAGGGGTGTCTGGTCTTACCTTCTTTGCTGGTGTGCTGCATGGCCTCCCAGTCCTCAGGGCCCTGCCTGGCCTCTAGGCCAACTGCATCATTCAAGAAGAACTCATGTCTGCAGTTTCGGCTCTCCAGGCTTGCCATGCGGGGGAACTTCTTCCTTGATAGTCGCAGGTACTTCTGGTTTTTGCGTTGCTTTCGGAGAGAGAATGGCAGGACTGCTCCTCCAGTTTTCTCTGAGAACTCTGCCTGACCTGGCTTACTCCCTGGCAGGCTGCTGTCTCCTCCTCCAAACCTCCGTGCAAGAGAGAAACAGAGCTTCTCCTTTCCCTTGTGGGCGCTCCTCAAGTCCATGCCATACAGCCGCTGCCAAGACATCAACGCAGCAAGGGTCAGAACAGAAATCTGATAATATAGCCAGGCCTCCCACCTGGAGTCAGGAAACTATTCTTTGTTCGGTCCCTGCACATCTAGATGAGCTAAGATAAGTTGTGCTGCTCTACAACACTGTTTCTCTGACCTCTTCAACTGCCATCTAAGATCTTCCTAATATGTGCTTTCTAGGATTGGCTGCTTTGCTTGGCAACAGTTAAAGTGTGCTGGAACCTCACTTCCAAACAGTGGTTACCTTTAACATGATGGGAAGTCCAAGCACAACATGCAATTAAGAAACCATGCCAACCAGGTAACCTGCAACCACACAAGCCCAAAGTTGATAAAATCCTAGTTCAGAGAGCAAGAGCTGTTGTTGGTTGGGGTTTTTTTGTTTTGTTTTCCTTTTTTAAAGATAAGTTAGCTGGCTCTTCAGCTAACAGGTTAAAACTGTCTGCCTACCCACTGATTTTATGTTGTTGTGTTAGCTTGTTGCCTCCAATTTTGTCCATGCAATAGCAAATGGACAGTTTCCACCTCTGTGAGCAGAGGAGCAGTGCAGTAGCTAACGAGTTCGAAATAGAAGAGCAAGAGGCTACCTGCAGTAGGAGGCGCTTTGGTTTGGGGCCTCTTTTCCTGTACCCCGATGCACGGTCTCTCTCTTCCCTGTGAAAGAGGAACACAAATCAAACCGAGTACTAAATACCACAGCACAAAGCCAAGTTGGAACTTCTACCTTTCACAGTACAGCTCCCTCATTTCCTTCATTAAAACCCAATGGTGACCAGCATGGGCTTGGAGAACATCCCAGAATTGCTTCTTGTAGGAGTGAAAGCCTTGCAATAAGGGCATTTCTCTGACTTAGCTGCTCAAGGATAGGTTAGTGAAACTTATCACCTTACATGACTCCAGTCCAGCCCTGGACCTGATTAAAACCTGAGAATGATTGCTCTTTGGCTCAATGCTGCTTGTTCTTGGCCTCATTTCCTGAACAGTGCCAATCAAAGCTGCTTTAACCCTGTCTTGCCCACCTCAGCCAACACCAGGATAGAGAGATCAAGCAGGATTCATTGCTACACATCTCATCTTTGATTGGAGTAGGGACAAGGGCACTTTATGCACACTGTGAAATAAAGACACTATCTCCTTTTCCTGTGTCCAGAGAGAGAAAGAACATGCATCCTTACTTTTCTTCATAAGCCACTACCAGGCGAGGGTCCAAGATATGATCCTCTGGCTCCCATGTGCTGTATCTGAAGAAAAACATAAGGAATATAAAGTAAACAATACTTAAATGAAATGTTCTCTCTGCAGGCCTATTACCCATGTGCTGTGGCCCTGGATACTGTCTTCACAAGGGTCGGTGGGGCCTGCCACAACATTGTGAGAGCTCTGAGGAATCCCAGCCATTGCCTCCCAGACTTCCTGCAGACACTCCGCTTCCCAAAACAGGCAGGGCCAAGCATCAAACAGCTCTTTGTAGAACAGGGAAGACTTTCCTCCCCAGGGCCCCCTCCACGCTGTTTGCAAAGTCTGTGAAGACACTTGGATTTTAAGTCAATGCCTAAAACAGGCCTCATCTGCAGCGCTCCCTCAAATCCAACAGACCCCATGGAACCTTGAGACGTGATCTGATACAGCTTTCTGAAAAATAGGTCTCTTAATTTAGAGTGCTCAAAGAGTAAGTGTGCCTTCTCACCTGCATTATTAATTACCTCTAATCACTGAAGCCAAAAGTATTCATTTAAGAAGAGTTTAATTTTTCTCCACTGGTGCCATTCAACTAAACATGTTTAGACCTGGGCCCTGAGGCAAGTTGATGGCGACTTCTCAACTATTCCTCCTCTTGCTCGACTCCCCCTGCAGGTTAATTCTATCTAGCAGAGGTCATCACTATTTCTGTACTGGCACAGGACAAACCCCTCTGCACTGTGGTCAGGGCTATCAAAACTACTCAAAAATCAGCTCGATGCTCTGAATGTAGCCTGTGAACAGTGTCACTCACTACCCCATCTCCCTCCTCGATTGACAGACAACTGTGAAAGGAGTCAGATGCACAGGAAAGGACTGAACCCACCCAGCAGGCAATGCCAAAACAGGTTCCCAAAGAGCACAGCTTCACTTAATAGCAGGGAGAAGCAGGCAAAAACTCCCACTGTGGAAGGTGAAAGGATCACAAGGTAGTCCTCGTGGGATGTCTGCTTCTAAGGGGTCATGTTTGCCCAGAAAAGGCATGTCTCTACCCTACAAACTCAAAGGCAAGAAAGCAAGTCTGAAACCCCAGACGCTTCATAACATTAATTTTCCTGGAATGTGAGGTCCAGGGCCTGAAGGCAGAGCCCCTCCCAGCTCCCTGGGAGGAAGGCCAGAGAGGAGCCACATGCAGGTGGGCAAGGGTGCATTTGTATCAGTGCCTTTAAACAAGGGGGAAGCATTTTAGGATGTTTACATTTCTGGACAAAGTACAGGCTGCACATGAGGGCATGCGATACATGCATATATGTACACAGGGGAGGTGGTTTGGGAATGCTTTCCCATTTTATCTCTCCATTAGATAGAAGAAAGGTACTGAAATATAGGAGCATTCCTGGAAAATGGATCTAGAAATGAAAGTACAATTCTTTTACAAAAGGGAGAAACAAGAATATGAAATTCAGATATCCCGAAGTGCACTGTACATCAGAGAGTTAAGAACAGACAAGTCTTCAAAACCAGCTGATCCCCTGCTCCTTCCCTCCGTTGCTTAAGCCTCCTGCAGCAACCTGACTGTGAGCTGTCAAAGCCAAGATCCTGTTTGAACAGAGGAAGGTTTCCTCCCAGCTGCAGGGATTCTGGCATTCATTCTACAAATTTAAGAAAAATAATAACACAATGGGGGAAAAAAGACATTGGATTGCTTTTCATGGGCAGGAGAAGAAAAGGGATTTGCTTTAAAAAAAAAACCAAACAACTGATGGGTGTTCCCTTTTTCTCTGCAGATCACTTTCTGGCTTCGCTGCAGTGGCAAAACACTGCATATAAAAAACCCCATGGTTCAGTTTGTCACGCACATGCGCACAGAGCTATATATATGGGTACACGCAGCCCAGGCTGCAGCAGAATTGCAGAGAGCAAGCACTCTGGAAAACATAGATCATATGATCTTCCTTTGCCCTCCTTCTACTCCTCCTCTTCTCCCTCCCCTCTTAACTCCAACCCAAGTTGTAAACAAGCTTGTAGCTAGAATCAGATTGTAACTCCTCCATTCCCTGACTCCAGCAGTATAATCCAGAAATTTGAGGTGCAGTGCATTAACAAGATTTTTTATTAATCAATAAAATATCAATTATATGGGAAAGCAGCAAACTATTGACCTATCCTTATTCCCTTCCATGAAGCCTCCAACAGAAATGATGGGATAACTGGTACAGAGATTACGAAGAGCAATGCAACAAGGCTGGGGAGGGGAAAAAAGTGAAACACAGTGTGGGATGAGGAAATTGAATATGTTGGAAGACAAAGATGCAGACAGCTTCTGGTGTTGTGTGCCATCCCAGGCATATGTATGTTTAGAAACAAGGAACAGAGACTGCTAGCAGCATGTAAGGGACTTCAATGCTCAAAGCATCTTGGTTTTAAGCAACTCAAACCACTGTATAAATGTTAAAATGGAGGGTAGAAAAAAAGAATATCAGTGCTCTTCAGATTTGGAGTTTGGGGGAAGAGAGAAGGTGTTTGGACATGTGACAGCATCAAAAGAAGGGAACCTTGATGTCCCCTCGCTCCCTGGGCACAAGGGTGTGCTTTTAACTCCCCAAAGAGTTTCTGACTCCCTCAGAGTTCCAAGGTGCAGGGCAAGTAAAGGCAGCAATAAGAATAAGGGATGCTCTTTCCAAGGAAACATTATGCCATGTCTCAGCCCACCTTCTTGGCAGGTGACTTTACAAGAGAAGGACCTCAATGCATTTGTTGAAAAGAGAATGGATAAACATCAGTCTACTGGCCAAAAGGGGGGGGGGTGTGCCTCACAGACTACCAATGCACTTCCCAACCTCAACCAGCAATTAAATTAGGCTTGGCTACTCAGAAGGTTGAAGCAGTCCAAGAACTGACCCACCCTATATGGCAACTGGTGCTTGTCAACAAGTGCACAAGGTCACCCTTTGCCAGCTGAACAATGTCACTCTCTCACCACCAGCAGGGAGGGGAAGCTGCATATATTCACACATGCCCTTGTAAGCACAAGGACTGGACATGAAGGAACACATTTCAACTTCTTGGACACCAGGACCATCCTAGTGGGTCCTGCGTTGCCACTGCAAGGATGAACGTGTACAAGCAGCCCCTTTTGCTTAGCAACACACAGAGCAACGGCATGTGTAATGTAGTTGTACCCATGCACATTGTGTGCGTACACACACAGACAGTTACAAACAGAAAAGCAAAGACAGGGCCCCCCACATGGCTTGTCCAGGAGGCTTTTCTACTAGACTGCTAGCCAATATAGTAATATTCTCCAGTTACCTAATCCTTTTAATCTCAAAGCATTTTACAGACTATTTAGGCAAAGAGCAATCACTCTTCTCCAGAAGCAGCTGCATTTTAATGAGAAGTATCTGTAATCAGTGCACAGTAATGCTGGAAAATTTTTTTTTCCCTTTTTGCAACATAGTAACCAAAGCAAAAGAGGAAAGACACTCAAAATAACAGAAGGTTTCAGGACAAGGAAATGAAGGATGGAGGTAATTTTAAAGGGACAAAGATCACCTGCATTTGGCTACAATCAATAAATCTGAAACATTGCCCCTTTCCATTTGTGAACTGCAGAGGGGAAGCAGTGGGACAACAAGCCAAGACCATCAACTTGTTTTCTATTTTAAAAGACTGCTTATAGCTCTAAAAATAAAGTGGGGTCCTCTTGGTGCTGAGTCAGAAAAGCAGTAGCCATTCCAAGTTCAGAAGAATCAGAGTTCCCAGTTGAACTCATAATGATTTTAAAAACACTGGTATCTAGAAAGCACTCAATGAAATCTTTCAGTGGTGGCAAAAAGGTCAGAACAGACTGGCACAGAGTTTGTAGCCCTCAGCTGCCAGTCTGGAAGTAAGATTTGGTTTTGATTTGTGGCTTCTTGGTTTTGTTTATCTTTATTGGAATGAGGCACAAGAGATTACCTGTTAAGAATGAGATGCTCAGTTGAAGAGATACAGTGTAAGCTATTGCCAAATATTAAGGAAAAAGACAAGTAAAACACAACTTACTTTGGGGGCCATCCTTTCCACTTCACCAGGTATTCTACTTTACCCTAAATATAGAAAAAGGAAGAAAAAAAACAGGTGAACTCTACAACCACATACAAGCTACAGTAAGAGATGCAACCAATCAACAGGATTAAATTCTGCAACTGAAAAGCTCATTTCCCAGCAGTTTATTTTCAAAACAAAGTCACCTCCTGATTCAACTATACTTGGTATACCATTTTCCCCAGAAAATGGGCACACAGGGGTATTCAGGCATGCTTGAACTACCATCTGCTTGGGATCATACCCTTGCAGAAGCCTTGCAGGCAGAACCCCAAAAGCCAACCAGACAGAAAAACTGCAACCATTCCTGCATTAACAGGCAATCCTACAAGAATTCAGCATATCTAAACGCAAGAGGGAGATGTGTGCCAGGAGCAAGTGTCTTTAAGAAAATTGGAATTGTTTTTAAGAAGAGAGAGGAAATACAGTATTTCAGAACCTATGAAGCATCTCTTTGGCATGTTACCTTCCAGTTGCTACACACTTTACTCAAACACTCTTCCATCCATCAGAGTCACTCAACCTTTTGACCCAAGCAAACAGCAGCTCACAGCTGAAGTTCAGAGATATCCGTTTATTTAATCACTCTAAGTACAAGATTTAAACAACAAAAAAAAAAAAGGCAAAAAAGAGTGTAGTGATTGGAAACCATGTTCACAAGCTCCATGAGCAGCTATTTAAATCTTTAATATTATACTGAGGGGCTTGTTAAGCACTTCCCAAAGCATGGCAGAGGCCTTTATGTGTGCAGGATGTCCCCCCCTCGAAGTGCCACTACCGCAGCTGCAGACACGTTTACACAAGAGCACGGCAAGCAGAGCGCTTGGGTCCCGCCTGAGCCGGAGAACCGGTTTCGTTTTCCTCACGGGGGGCTCACCAGCCTCCCAGTGCTTGAGAGCGGTGCCCCATAAGGAACTTTCCGCCAGAGGATCTCCACACGCTGCGTGCTTACGGGTTAGACCTCGTAAACCCCCATGGGGATGGCGAGCGTTTCCACGGCTGGGGAAACCGAATCACTGAATCCTTCCAAACTGTCTCTTGATTCGGGCTGCCCGGTTTGGTGGCGCCGGCACTGACCGCGCGTAAGCTGCAACCCCGATCAATGACATCCCCCCCTTTCTCCCCAGGCTGCCCCAGAACCCCCCCACCTCAGGAGCAACTCCCGCCAACACGCGCGTCCGCCGGCTCCGCAGGCAGGTGCCGGTGCCCCGGAGGGCAGAAGGCAGGGCGGCCCCGGCGCTTGTGCGAAACGGCAGGGGTGTGTGTGTGCGTGTGTGTG